TGAATTACAGTCCATCCACAGTTTGGGTCCACACATACAAAACAAATACCCATAAATGTAAGACTTGGATCATTGTCTACTCAAGAAAATATAAAGTTTTTTCACAAAACAGAGACAAGGTGCAAAAATGCATACGGTCTGGTTAAGCAAAAGACTTGAGTTTGAGTTTTCTTCAAATGATGCAATACTTTGCTTTACACTTTACCTGTTTTGAGGAGCTTTTAGCTTAACTCCACAATTAGGACAGATTTTTCGGTTTTCTTACAGATCACTGATAGCTGTTCACAACATGTTACATACTGACTTCTTATAACTACCAAATACAACTTCAAAAATGCAAACCTAACACGTCAAATCATATCTAATTTTCAAGGGAAAAGCACACAGAGTGTAGGCTGCATTGTTACCTTTGCTTTGATGTTACACTTGGTTCTGGTTATTACTTTTCGATGGTGTTTCTTGTGCCATGTGCCCTAAATTAGGATGCTTGTCTTTCCCGAGAGTTGAAATTCAAGCTGTAGTAGTTTGAAAGGCTTAATAACACTGCAGTGTTCAAGTGCACTATTGTATGAAAGTGCCAGAAAAGCAGAACAGGCAGGGGGACAACAAAGGCAGCCAGCATATTCCACAGCACGTGACGCTCTGGGGACAATATCGCCGTCCGTCCACAACATGCACAAAAACTACCTACCTGCGTGTGATTCAGAATGCGCACATGCTCGGGGGAGAACATGCATGCACCCTCAGTGACATGCATTCTCACTACTCATACACCCACATGAACTGTTGACATGTGGCACAAAAGTTACATTAAGGGTTCATCATGCAACATTACATCACTCTTAGGTCCACAGGTGGGAAACTAACAAGTAGCTACAGTCATAATGCAGCCAAAGCTCTTCCTTAGATTATTGAAAGTGATCCATAAGATGACACGTGAAGGTAATACATAATATAATTAGGTCAAATTAAAGATACAGACGTGCTTTTATGACTGAAAACAATAATCAAATGTGTTTAGTAATCGTTTCAGTAAAATTTAAAGACCGTAGAAAGAGCATGTTAATGCAAGTTTATGATTGAAATCAGAATAATTAATAATATCGTTATCATTATTTGGTTGTTCCATGCTATGTAAACCAAACAAAATGCTAACCAGAGCAAATTTAAGACAGACACAGTATTTGGTATCCCATGCATTCATAAACCTTTCTGTATATTAAATTATTTATTCGCTCTGTGTGTTTGTGTAAAACTTAAAAGAAGTGAAATTCTGACTACTTTATAAAAAATACTTACTCAGAAATGGTACATTATGACACCTTTTGGACACCATGTTACTTAAATTACATAAACAAAAACAAATTGCTCACATGTCAACAACTTGCCATACCTACAAGCTCAAATTTATCTCCATATTAAGAAATCACATGGCATGAGTATATTCAACAAGCGTTTTGTTTAATTTATGATGTGATCTGCTTTGTTATCCATTTTGCAAAACCTAAATGATTCAAACTTGTTTGCCTTCAAAATATAAATTAAAAGAAGGATTTGAACTTAAATTTCTGCAATGTTATGTAAATCTTTTCCTTAACCACTGCAGCTGAGCTGTACTTTGGCAACAACTGCCTCCTGGAGCAGAAGCTCAGCAACTCCAACTCCAGCACAGAAACTTTCTCATCCACAAAACTTATGACAGCTTATAACCTACTTAAGACAGACACAGTATGACCTATGTAGACATGAGAAATTTAGAATAGAATATCAACAGTTTTCTGAACCAAATCGTCAGCTAATTCTGGATGTTTATGTCAGATTTGTTATCGATATAAGTGAAGTAAAAGCATGTTGTCACTGAAGACAGCGGGATAATTTTAATTTAATTTTAATTCTTTCTTAAATTATTTTTTTAATGTAATGAACATCTATATTTTGTTGTTTGTATTTGGTGTTATGAGTACAGGCAATAAGTGCTTTAAACATTTTGTTGCACTGATGTGTTACTGTTATCTTAGAAAGCATCTCTGCAAGCTAATATGAGACACAGCATGATGCGCCGATGATAACAAATCCAACGACAGCATGGGATAAAGACTGAAACTGTGATAATGTGTCTACATTTTATTTTTCACAATATCCTGTTTACCTCACTGTTACCTACGCACAACTAAGGGACTGCTGACAGTCCCTTAGATTTACAAATTTCAATGTATTTTATGAAAACCCCATCAGCTCTTTAACAGTGTTAATGAAAACCCACAGTGACACCTGCTGGACAGATGGAATATGTCCAGCTCAAAATATACATTTGAGCTAAAGGGTTGATATTAGTGCTATTATTGGATGAATTGTTTATTATAAATTTCAAACTAATATCAAAAATATCAGTATTTTTTTTATTTGAAAGAACTTTGGATCACGTCAGGCAACAATAAATATGTTTTACTTCCTGCCTCTACTCACCCAACAAGTGATTACCGTCCATTGATACTGCTTCAAGTAATCAATAATAGAAAATAGATACTATGAAAAAGTTATTTTAAAAAAAAATAAAAAAATAATTCGGCATACATTGTCTCTTCAGATTTCCAAAGCACAGTTACAGGTTTGTCTAAACGCGGACACAAACATTTCGTAGCCACATTACCGGCGGAGTGTGAAGGGATTCTGTGTTTCCTCCTTCCCTTTTACTTTAAGTACACTCACGACCTCTTTGAAGTGTCTTATCTATTTCCACTCCGTATATTTACGCAGAAAGATTGGAGGGAAGAAAAAAAAACTGGATTTATCATGTTTTGTGTGTTATTTTTGATTGTTGCTTTGAATTTTAACTTGTATCTAGCCATGAGTTTCATGAATGTTCACACTATTATCTTTCAAAAGTAATGTATGTATAAAATACTTTTACAAAACTTATATAAAAGAACACAGGTGCCTTCTTCAAAACACACTTGCATCAAATTTCAGCATTCAGTCATTCAAGTCCAATTATTCCTGCAAAAGAATATTTGAGTTACCTGTGTTGGAGGAGGTGCTTGATGGTAGTACTTCAGGTCTTGACTTTGGCATCCATGAACAAGATGATTTAAATCATTACTATGAAAAATACAAGTAAAACACAAATGACAGCAACATTATTACTGTTATTTGTTGTCTTTTAGGTTTTTTATAGTGTTACATTCCTTGGGTGTGATACTATATTTTATTCTAGGTCTTAGAATATATTCAGTTTATTTCTCTATGATCATTATTGTGATCATTATTTACCCCGCCTCTTGCCTGAAAGGTTTGCTGGAGATAAGCACCAGCACCCCTCCTGACCCCACTAGAGACAAGGGTCTTAGAAAATGGATGGATGGATGATCATTAAAATTTCTAAGGTGCTGCCATATTAGTTTTCTGACTATATATAAAAAACTTTGGAAATTAACAAAAATACATGTCACACTGTTCAATTCATAGTTTCCAAAAGATCAGTTACTGCTGACAGTCCCTAAAACTATTGCTGATGATGAGGTGAAAAAGCATTTGCTGTTGTTGCTCCTAAATTATGGAACAAGCTACCCTTCAGCATGAGACAGGCCTACTCTCTTCCTGTTTTTAACCTCTGTTGTCCTCGGCTTATGTCGACCGAGGACAAGCCCTTAAAAAATATGTTTTTCAATTGCAGCTGCATACAGAAACTTTAATCTAACAGTCCTGCATCAGAACTATGGTGTGCACAACTCAGGGGGAAGTTAGGCTCAAGCAATCCAAATGTGAACTTTACAAAAGAAATAAAATAACCAAACCCAGGCCTCAGGTCAGACTGACCGGAAGACTAAGGAAATCACAGCTGGACAGGCAAAACAGTATGGAATGGCATCATTGATCTCCGTAAAACTGATATCTTTTCAAATTTCCCCCCCCTCCTGTTGCCCTCGGGTTGACATGACCCGAGGACAAGCCCTTATAAAACATTTTTTTAATTGCAACTGCATACAGAAACTTGAAATCTAACAGTCCTGAATCAGACCTACAGTGTTCACAACTCAGATGGAATTTTCTGCTGCAGCAATTCAAATGTGAACTTGACGAAAAAAATAAGAACAACCTCCTCTTGTCTTCGGGTCAAAATGACCCGAAGACAAGAGGAGGGTTAAATCTCTTTTAAAATCACACTTTTAATCCTCAGCTTCCAACACATGTGATCTTGTCTTGTATCACACTTCAAAATACAAGGTCTAGTAATTCTTTAGTGTCATTTCCTAGTCCCTTGTGGACTCTTCCTTGCCCCCTGTGCCATTTCTTTTTCTCTCTCCTCAGCTTGCCTTCTTCTATCTTCTCTCCCATCTGCAGCTCATTACTTCATCATTATTTCATTTGGTTTTATTTTTAAGTTAATCTAAAACATTTTCAGTATGAGAAGTGCAGAAACTTTTTGTTTTTGTTTTTTTTATTACAGGACTAATGACACAATTGTTCACTGTGGTTAACAGCCAAAGGCTGCTATAAAATCTACATCATTTTTACGTTATTTTCTTAAATGTTATCGTCTTAATGTTTTTTTTTCTGTTTGCTTTTATTTGATTATCTTGCTGTTATCTGATGCTTCGGATGAGTTCTGATATGTTTTACATTATAGTCTTTGACTTATGGTCTTTTGTATTTCCAGTAAAGCACTTGAAACGACCCCTTGCATGAATGGTGCCATGCGAGAAGACTTGGCTTGCATTCCCTTTAAAACACAACTTATAATTTTGGTGGATGCAAATGCTTGAAATGTATAATTATGTATGTAATAAATAGCTGTATAAAACAAAATATGCGATGTTTTATATTTATTGACATTTTATATTTTGATTTAAATCAACTGCAACGTCGATATTTTTTTATTTTTTTTGCACGTCTTATTATAGCCACTAGAGGTCACGTTTGCGCCTGTAACATGAGCTGTTGTGGGTCCGCCGGTTGAGGTCCGACTGCTGAATCCCTCTGGCAGAGTTTAAGCATCGCTCTTGCAGACCAGACACCAAGTGCAGCAGTCGCGTCCGAACACCGCAGTCTGCCTGCAATGCCCTTGGACACTGTCGTTACCGTCCACCTCTGCAGCGCTCTGACCAGTCCGGTCTCCCGGTGACTTATCCAGGACCAAATATTGCGGCAGCTCCGTCTGCGCATTGTGAAACGCATGGGGAAGCGCCAAGGATAACAGAGATCGCCACTGCAGAGAACCTGCCGGTAGTTCGCAGCCCCCGCAGCAGCAGCAGCAGCGGGAGGAGGAGAAGGGGAAAGAGGAGGGTTGCGCTGGTGTCAGAGGCTTCAGCGTCGCATCCACTATTCTGATCACTTCCTATCACCTTGAATGGATACATCATGGCTACGCTTACATGCAGGGTGCAGTTCTTAGATGACACCGACCCTTTCAACAGCACCAATTTCCCAGAGCCCACCAGACCGCCTCTGTATACCTTTAGGGAAGATATTCCTCTGATCAATCAGATAGCTGGAGTCCACAGGCTGCTGAAAGCACCACACAAGGTATGTATACAAACATGTATTGCTTGTGTTGTTATTCTTCAGTCAGCTGAGCTACACTTGAACACTCTTACTTAAACCAACATTTGCCCTAAGCGTGTTGATGGGGTTACTAGGTTACCAAACCAAGCTGGGTCATTGAACAAGGGACCTGGTGCAGAAATGCTGATGGAGCCAAACAGTGGTTACCTTAGTTACCCTCAGTGATGCGGGAATGAAAACCTCTTACTTTTTCTGAAGGGTTATTGGTCATGAATTAATTTTGAACATGTAAAACAACAAAGTTTACATTCTATGTATTTCTTCTAGACTATTTTTGCTGTATAAAAAATGCATACCTGTTAGGAAAGGGATTCATTCAATACCTTGCTCGAACATTCACCCTCTGACAGACCGACGGGAAGTAATCCACCATGGTGAAGTAGAAAATAAATACTTTTCAGCTTTCCTCACAAATGAAAAGTGTGAAATGCATTTGTATTTGAATAGCTTCCCTATCCCTGAATCACCCCTAAGACATGATGCTTCCACTGCTGTGCATCACCAAAGGGAGGATGTATTTAGAGTAACATGTGCCATGTTCATTTTCCTCCAGACTTCACATTTTGCATGTAGGTCAAAAAGTTTAACTTTATCCTCATCTGATCAGAATATGCTCTTCCTTGTGGTTGGTGTGTTTCTAAATGCTTTGTGGCCAACTGATGACAAGACTATTGATTGGTTTCTTTTGGTGCTCCACAATGAAGGCCACATTTATGGGGTGCCTGATCAATAGTTGATCTGTCAACAAAGTGTTTGACCGGAGCTATGGATTTCTTCAGCTCTTCCCATGTTCACATGTATCTCTTGACTTCTTTGATTGGTGCTCCTTTTGACAGCAAGGAGGTTCTCTCCTTGACCTGTCAAGGAGACCCACTGATCCTTGTGGTACGTTAATGTTCTCTAACACAATCCTGAGACTTTCTGTTACAGAACTTATGGGGACTCGGTTTACTCGTGTTACTTACATGAACTCATAGAACTGAAATAAACTCTTTTTAGATTAAACATTACAAGCATGTTACATGGCAAAATGTAAAAAAAGAAAAACAAACTGTAGAGATCTGGTTTCAATGCAAGGCACAGTCTGTTATCATTTCTAGAAAGTGTTTTATTCCTCATAAACATAATATTTGTTAATGAAGCAGTGAGACTGCACTGAACATGCAGGATTGTATACCTGTGCCTTCACAGCTCCTGTTACAGTGACTGGGATGAAATGCTGAGCTGGGCAGAGTTGATCTTATTTCCTTGTCAGATTGACAAACTTTGTTCTTTAGAATGTGCCGCAATCTACTGTCAACATATTTTCACGATCAAGGTGATACTTACCACATTATTTATCTTGCAACAGCTTGATCTTTCTTCTCTCGACAATATCATGGCTATTTTTAAATAGCTTGACGTCACCTAAGTGTTTTTTGCTTTGAACGGTGCAATTGTTTTGATCAGAAAAACAACAAGAATAGCTCAATTTCTTTCTGTTTGTATTTCTTTCTATGTCTTTTGATGGCTTTCTAAGGTCAAAATCTGTAGAAATGTTTGTTTTGGCTTTCTATTTTGACCATATTGACTCAAGTATATTCAAAAGCAATATCACCTACTCACCTTTCAAAGTGAAATGAAACATAGTTGCATAACCTATCATACTTTAATGTCCTTTTATCTTTGTTTAATAGGGACGTCACATACCTCAAAATGTAATTTGGGTCTTTCATTGTCCAGTCAGATCTGTGTTATTGCAGACTGTTTACACAGAGTTGGGGAGATGGAAGCATTTTGGTGGTTGTAGATTACCACAAGCTTGCTTCACATTCAGACGCCAGCTTGCTTCCATTGACAGGATGTGACAGAGCAACTTTGAAGTGTTTCAGATGGAAGGTAGCAGTGAAAAATATATAAAACAAAAGAACACTGGCATACAAAAAAATGAGCCCAGTCTTTGTTTTCAATCCATTGGCATTACTGCTCGGGTGTAATTTCATTCACTTTATCTCAGCAACAACAATGGTGTCACAGTATGCAGCAAGTTGTTCTGCGATTTACATTCTTAAAATAATTTGTTTTATAGAGTGACCTTGTAAATGGCTCAAGCAACAAGCCTTCGGCCCCAGAGCTCAGAGGTCAATCTGATATAAATAGTGTGCTGTTCACACATGGTGTCCAGGGATTCAGACAGCTTGCATGTGCTGTTTCTGAGCTATCGTCGTCAGTTTCTAAAGCTGAAGTTTGGAGATCTGTGCATGGGTGTAGTTAGCCCTGCATTATATTGGACTGTGTTATTCATAAAACAGCATCTGGGAAGAAGAAAGTTTTAATGTCAACATGCAGAGTGTGTGGTCTTACTATGGCTTGTTTTCTACAAATAAAAACAGGGCGACAGCAGTCTAAGAGGTAGGAGTTCATCCTTGTAACCCTTGGGCAAGACACCTCACCCACCTTCTCTGCTGGTGCTGGTCAGAGAGCCTGGTGGCGCCGATTGAATAGCAGCCTTGCTTCTATCAGACTGCCTCAGGGTAGCTATGACTACAATGTAGCTTTCCATCATCAGTGTGTGAATGAATGGGTGAATGACTGAAGTAGTGTTTATCAAGTCTTCTGATAAAGTGCTATACAAATGCAGGTCATAAAGATATAGTATGTCCTCCAGAAAGTGTGCAAAGTGTGTGTCTAAAGCATGTCCTGTAAGCAATAATTTATCCAGGTTTTAGCATTTACAGTGCTTTACAAAGTCCTACCTTTTGAACTCTTCCATATTTTGTCATGGCACAACAAGGTATGTGCCATGACACATACATAAGTCTCATTATGCATGTGCCTCATTTTTATGCAACATATAAAAATGACACTTTATGTGCTGCATAAAGTCTCCTTTTTTGAGACTCTATGCAACACTATATGCATAGTGCTAATAACTGAGAAGAGGAAGACAATGTGGGATATGGTTACCACAATATTGTTCAAATTAAAACTAAAAAATGTAGCTATGACTGTGGCTTCCATTTTTAAAATAAAAATAAAAAATGGAAGCCACAGAATATTATGGTAATTTTAATCAGGAAAATGTATGTGTTGGATACACATACATTTCATGTATGAGCCTGTTGTGCTCATTTGAAGTAGCCCAACACTGGGCTACTTCAAATGAGCGAGTGAATGTGACATCACACACTGCAGTGGGGCAAAAAAAAAAAAAATGTAGAAACAATTTTATGACCTAAAAAGCTTTGCAGGACCTTAATGTCACCCATGTGCTCTGTTGATTTCCAGAAAAAAAAACTGCTGGTCTGTTCCATGCTACATATTAAGCTAAGCAGAAAACACAGACATACAAAGCAAAAAAAATCATTTTTAAGACTTTGAGAAGATTTAAAAGAACATTGCAACAGCAGGAACCATGCCATCAACCCAACCATCTACTCAGCAGTTTGCTAGAAAATGCTAACATAGCGAAATAAATACATTTATACAATTGTAAAACTTCTATGCATTTTGAGGAGTCACACTCCTTAGTAAAAATCAGAATAGAAGTTAACACCTTAAGAAGGTAGCTTAATTTTAGCATTAAAAATGTTGCTTTGTGAAGGCCTAAGGAGGTTGTGAACAAACATCTAGGATAACTTTGGAGGAGATGCATTGATCCACTACTCAGATGCAAGATTCTTTTCACACCTATTGGCGTCACAGTAAAGGATTGTGCTTAATGTTTGCTAGCACGCATCTGTAAATCAAAGCTCTGCCATACCGCTTCTGGTCTGCTGCTGATTGATTCCAATTCTGGACTGTGACATTAACAATTTAAACTTCAGAGACAATTGTTTTTCTGCATTTTTTCTGGCCCCATAATGAGAAGCTGTGTTAAATGAGAAGTTATGTAAAACACTTTAAAATACAGGTTCCTCCTTTGAGTTGCTGTTCTCATTGTCATGCAGAGCTGAGGTTTTTCTCCTCTATGCATTTTGAGGAGTTGTCGCAGCAGAAGGCCCCTTTCAAAAGAATGCATTGTCCAACACTGCCTGACAGGAACTTCAGATTACTGTTGTGGTTACTCATTCATGCATCAGGTGTGTTTTAGTGTCACATGTCTTCAAAAAAAGACCCCAAGTGGCTTCATCAAAAGCTTTCTGAAGGAGATTTCTGTATTTCATCTGGTGTGACTTAGAGTTTATTGCACTTTGCAAACACAGATGTACAAGGTAGCCACTACAGAGGCAGTGCATGTAATAAATATGCAGACAATGTGTTTAGTCGACGCTGTTTGCTTCTAGATGTCTCTCCTGGCTTGAATAAAAAAACTGGAGTGTGATAGAAGCTTTAAATTGGAAATTGCATGGTGTTTATTTTTAGTCATTTTTTCCTGCACTGCCTCCCTGGTCAGTGGACCACAGCATGGTTGTCGAAGGGAGAGGCCAGACCTCAGTGCGAGCAGAGTGCTTGCGGTTACTTCTCTGGACTTGGCCATCGCAGTGCTACTGTGGGTTCAAGTCCTGGGCAGGAGACAGCCAAACAAATCCCTGCTTCTGATAAGTTGTGACCTTCATTCCTTCCAATTCTTGGATTAGGGACAATTGAGCGCCCCACCCTGACCCTGCATGACTTGTGTATCAATAGCTGTGACGTGTAATTCAGGCTGATTCTATACAGAGGAAATATAAGGGATTTAAGAGTGGAAGTGAATTTGTGGATACATAGAGAAACAGAAAGCTTTGAGTTTGCTTCTTTGCTTTTTGTCGGTCTGCTAGTCATTTATTGGTTCCACAGTTGGCTAATTATTGGTTACAGCTGCAGGACTGATTCAGTGCTTTGTCTATTTAAGGTAATACAGAGTGAAAAAACAGACAGCAAAGATTTTGCTCTTGTTTTCTGTTTGGTTCATTGAGTTCTTGGAGTGCAATGTACAGGTAAAGAGGATTAAGACTTGGATTCAACAAAATACAATCAAGTTTCTTTGGTGGTTCAGTATGGGGTAATGGGAATTAGTTGCTTATTTTTTGCATTGGATTTTATATTAATGTCACTGTAGAAAACCAAAGTCATAAATTTACCAGGTTTATTTTGAATGCTTTATGCTTGAATTCTCTCTAATGTAATATAATCTTACATCCTTTGCTTTGCTGGCCTTGTTTTTCCTCTATTCTTTATGCCTCTCTGTGTCTTGCTATATCTGATCCAGTCTTTAAAAAAGTACTTACGAATAACTAATTTCTTTAAAGTTATTTTGTTCTGATGCATCATCTTTGGAAAAAGTTGGCACTCATACTTTTTGCTGCTAGTTTATTTATTTAATAAAAATAAAGACCAGTTAAATAACTGTTTTGAATCCCGTTCAACATTTGCAAAAGCTAGTTATTGCAGCAGAATAAAATCATAAAAAGTAAAGTATTTAGCTATAAATCGATTATTCCATATACTACAAACACAAATCCTGTTTTAAATCAAATGTGCTCGTTATCTGATGGCTTTCTTCCGATCTTCAGTAACCTTAAGCACTAAGGTTACTAAGTTACACCTCTGAGAGAAAAACAACTGTAGAAAAGCTTTAACACAAAGTATCAATTCCAACCATGCTGTCTGTATTTGTAGTTTTGCAAATATGAAGGGTTTATGTACATTATTATCACTCCACAACATATTTTCATCAATTTTCCTGACCCATTTCTTGTCTGGTCCTTTGATCAGAGGACAATTCCAGTAAAAGGTCTAATGTCTGTCAGGAGAGTACATATTTACATCTGCCATGTCTCTCAAGCCATCCACTGTCAGTTATATAACATCCGTGATGACTTGATGAACCCAAGAACGCAATATCTTTTTTATTTTTTTCTGGCCTCTTGTTATCTTCCTGACTGTGTGAAATAGCTCAATAAATTTTATGCCACAATGTTTTTTTTTCTTCAAAAAATGTTTATTGTTGCTCTGACTTCACATACAGGTGTAGGCAATCAGTTATTTTTTAATGACTTTAGATCATTTATCTTACTTACTTTTATGGCAAGGCTTCCTAAAGAGTGGCTTAGTTAGATGGATGCATTAGCATAAATAAATATGCCGAATGGATATTAAAGGATTATTAAATGAAAGCTTCTACTCTCTATGATCTACTTGATAGGACAATTTAATTTAAATTTTAAAAAAAATTGGCAACTGCAATAAAATATCTTTTTTTTGTTTGTTTTAAGGATGTTTTCACATTGTTATCTGTTGAACCAGTGAGCAGAGGGGACTGCAGCTCTGAATCAGACAAAAAAAAAGTTAGAAAGAGGGATCGGGGGGGATTGAGAGCTATCCCATCTAACCATATGTTTTGTCTCAGTTCCAAAATTTGACACAGTCTTAGAGTGCAGTAATGCAAACAGAGTGGCTGAACACTTCAAAGCCATAAAGTCTCTTCCTGTGTTTCTCCGTCATGTTTAATGAAGTTACTGTCACATACAGAACGAAGGAAGGAAGTGGTAGTGCATCAGTCTGTAAATGGACTGTTATGAGAAATCCTACATGCTACGTATTTACTAGACATGTTGCTCATTATAAAAAAACGATGTTGGAGATTGCCTTCAAACCTCTCCTCCTTTGTGTTTCATTACAGAGCAGAGCGAATGGGTCTACCCATACCACATGTTGTTTTAGACACCCAGAGTGTTAGTGGAGCGGAGCAGTGCCAAGTCTCTGCTCCTGAAATCAAATGTTTGGACTCTTTTAATGGTATTTGTTTTCCTGTGTTCTGCTTCACTGCTGGAGCCGGGGTCCTGCGGAGCCGACAGACCTCCAATATAAATAGGTTAATATCTTCAATTTAGAGGTCAAACAGACAAGTGAACATGCGCTCTCATTCTTCATCTCCTTGACCCGAGTCGGGTGATGACAACCTTTAAGGACCAGACGAATTATACCCTCCCTGTGAAATCATCGCGCTCGATGATAGTTTGTCGGACATGGTGGGGCTTGGAGCAGAGAGATAAGAGACAGCAGACAGAAAAGCAGCTCTGACCCTTCATAGCTTTACTGAGTTTATCGCCAAAGAGCTGTGACACAAGCTGATAACAGAACTGCCTTGTCATGTCTTTTTATAAGTACAGTGTTAATGTGATGTACTCTTTCAGTTTAGCTTTCTTTGGGTTTTGGTGTCACTTGTACCTAATGAGAATGGATCAAAATTGCATTGGTTAAATCTAACCTCTTTATGTGTGCGTGTGTGTGTGTGTGTGTGTGGTTGCATGCTTAGGCGGATGACTGTGCCCTCCAGCTGTCCCATAATGGAAGCTATTTGGATTTGGAGTCTACCCTGGCAGAGCAGAAGGATGAACTGGAGGGATTTCAGGAGGATGGAGGGTAAGATAACAATCGCATCCTTCTCCGTCTGTTGCTTAACTTTTTCCTTTGTTATCGCCAAAACTTGGAAACACCAAAAAGGAAAAAAAAAAAAGAAGTGGCTGTAAACAGAGCACAGAATGAGAAACACTCTCCATTACTGGCCTGAAGTTATAGACTAAAATAAACTTGAACACTGCTGTTAAAAAAAAAAAAGGAAAAAAAACGTTAGTCGTATACTCCTTCCACTTCAAAAGCTCTGTGTCGGACAGATGCCAGACAAAGCTGAAAATACAAGAGTTTCTGGCCCTACTGAGCAGGTGGATACAGTAATATACATTACATGCCAGACTCTGATTTTCCCGGAATCAATTGTTCATGCTTTAAATTAGCTGTCAACCCAGAGAAATTTATATATAAAAAATGATTCAAGAGTAACTTACAATTGCTGATTACAGGAGTCTGGCTTTAAAAACAACCCAAATATCTCCCCAGCTTTCACAGTCAACCATAATCACTGCAATATGATTACTGTTTAAGAGAGAGAGACTGCAATTCAGATCTGATAAGAAGGAACTGTTATAGTTAGTAGGTTATAGGGATATACGTTAATGTCATTCTTGCTGTATTTCTGTGCCTAATCTGATCCAATTACAGTGATTGGAAGGATAATAAAGCCAAACTGGATGAATTACTCAAAAATTCATTTTACAGGCATTAGCTGAATGAGTTCTGCTTCCCCCTCATGCAAGGCCATTAGATTTGTTTATTAAAAAAGGTCAAGGTCTAAACGTCTTTAATGGCTCCACCCTTTTACAAGTAAAAGCCTGCTTCAATTCAGAATGCCTTCTTAATTCTGAAAATCAATGAGACACTATTTTGTCCCACAGAAGCTGTTTTGAATCATATTTAGGAATAGTGCTTCTTTCTAAAAATGTTAAATTTAATTAGATCTGATCGGAAGTTTAATTTAAATTTCCCATCTCACACTGTCATTCATCTCTTCAACCCTGAGGAGAAGAGCAGAAGTTGCCATCCCTGGGATCTACAAGAAAGTTGTGCTAGAGATGCATGTAAAAGTGGATGATCTTCTGGTGAATTGCTCCTAGAATGTGACTGGTCAGTCTGAAGTTCAAAAATCCAATACTTATGCACTATGGTGCATAGACCAATAATGTAAGCTGTGCCATTTTGGACTGACTGCAACACTATTTGGTGGGAATGTTGTTACCAAGTTAGATTCAAAGTTGGCTATCTTCAGTATCGATAAGCTGTTTAAAATAGAAACACAGAGATGGAGCATATTGTGAAAAATTAACAATGTCTTCTGCAACATGTCATGGCATTAATGCTCTTCATTCAGGCTGCAATGGAGTGCAAGGAAAAGAGACTTAGAGAATTGCTATAATTTCCTTTTGTGTTGTATTTATATTCTTTGTTTTTGTATTTAATTTGTATTTTTTTGTATTCTTTGTGTATGCTTACTGTGTGCCACATTTTTGCCTGTGAGCTGCTGGTAACTATAATTTCCTGAGGGAGTCTTCCCAAGGGATCAATAAAGTCAAGTCTAAGTCTAAGTCTAAGTCTCTATTTGCATTTGAAGAGAAGAATTGACTAAAATCAGTGGTGACCTCAAAATAGCATCTACTTCAAAATTGAAATGATTTTCTAAAATTTCCACCATTCATATCAGGATAGAAACCTGTATGACAGCAGCGCTTGCATCTTTTTGCTACATACCAAAGGTCTAACTTTTTCCATGTCTTTTATAGCGCTTGGCGTCCTTTATCGTGTGGCAGCAGTGACGTATTCGAAACCACTTAGTTTGTTGATTTGTCTTATGAGTAATCACTCTGATCTATTTTACATTGACACTGTTTTTCATTAGATCGCTGAGGTACACACAGTTCTACACTTCAGTTGTAGCAAGCGTCTAATATTTTCCTTTGCTGAAAAGTCTGCCTGATACAAAAAAAACTACACTTTGCATTAATATGACTCCTGGGGACAGACGACGAAATTGAGATTCTAAATTGTGTTAGTTTAATTTCAGTTTCATGCACTTTGTTTGGCCTTTCGCTTATTGACTCCATATGTTTTACATGAACGGTAGAGCATGCTAGGTATATGCTCTGCCCACTTTAGATATTCACAAACCAAAGGTTGGCATGAGAGTTCCTGGTTAGCTGTACCGCAAACATGTATGGATTTATTTGTCTAACTTGGAATTCATAAGCGGCTCCCAGCCCTGGTGTTTCTGTTGGACATCGAGAGTGGCGTCCGTTCCCAGTTCCAGCTGAAATTGTTGGGAGCTTATGGGGAGGTTACAGAGAGCTGTGAGGTTAAAGCGGTCCACTTCTTCTCGCGTCAAAGGCCGAGGCTGCCAGGGATTGTGTCATGCCAGCTGGCATGAGGTGGTAGTATGGATGTAGGTCATTAAATCAGAGGAGGCTGGGGGTAAAGGTGGTTGGCCAATTATTTAGTGAAAAATAATGGTTAGTTCTGCTTACTGTTTATTTTATGGCGGTAATGTGCCCGAGAATTTACCTCCTGCAGTTCAGCACACTTTGATCTCATGACAATAATGCCAAAATGGTGTAATAAAACACTTCACCTTTATTTTCTCAATGTTTTATTAACTCTTTCTGTTTTGCAATCACTCAAAATGTCAAGAAATATTCAGAGTTCGTGAAAAAGTGAACTGTAAAGCAACCAGCTTCACTAACCTAAGCGAAATTATGTCATTATTCTTTTCCCCCTAGTTATCTACCAACTGAAAACATTCCTGAACCTTCTTGATTATTGGCAATTGGATCCATGTGTAATTGATATTAACGACAGGTTACATTCCTGAGGCGCCTGTGTCATACTTAGTGTCTTTACAATCAGATTAAAGTATGATCCTCTGACAGAGGGCTGCAGAGCCAGGAGATATTCATGTCATGGTAGCTTAAGGGCCTTAATCACTTCCACACCGTGTTGCATAGCTTGGCAACAGAAAGTTGTGACTTGTACATTCACTGTCCCGCCTCATCACTGATGCAGCTTCTCTTCAAGTTATTAACTGACCAGTTTGCAAAGACGTGCTGAGGCATTTCTGTCTTTAGGTAGTTGTTTTGTTATTGAAATTTTGTCGTCGCGAGACACTGAACCAATGCATTTCCAGGACTCTTAAAGAAAATACAGTTCTTATTTGCTTTACTGAACGCTTTTTACTATCTTTCGGTACAGTTGAAATTTTTGGAGTATATTTCTACCAGCTTTGCACATCTGGACTTCTGGAGGCTTCTGCCCATTTTTTTTTAGATTAGATGGAGCGTGTCCAGGAACAACAGATCCTAAACTAGATTTAAGTTTAGACTTTTATTCATCTGTTCTGTCACAATAATATGCTTTGATTTTAACTTTATTGTTTAGGGTTGTTTTTCTGTTGTTGTTCAGCATAGTGTTGTTTTGTATGTAGTTCTATCTTCCTATCAACTCTTACATGGCCATGTTGAACAAATACTTCACCACATCCTAGTGTTTCCACTTTCTTATGTCACCTTCATGATGGTGTACTTGATTTATCTTCTTCATTGAGCTATGGATTTGTGCAACTCCTCCAAAGAAACCATGGATGTGCTTATTCTCTCTGTTTTGGTGGAGATCCATATGTTTATAAGGTTTGCTGTGAAAACATACCTAATTTATTCAGATTGAACAGTGCTTAGTAATATTGTCAAAGCTTGACACATTGCTATGTAACTTAAACATCTTTGCCACTTTCTCTGTGCGTTTCTTGATCTTCCTGATGCTGTTTGTTAAAGAATGTTTTCTAAATGCTGAGCTTGGATTATACAGAGGTGAACTCTGCTCATAAATAATGGCAATAGATTTTGCTATACTTTATTTAGGGGTATGCCACATTTTTCATATTTTCCTTTTACTATTATACTCCACTTCTCTTGATCTACCACATATGCTACAAGTAAAATACTTTAAAGTTCACTGTTACATGGTGATGTGGACAAGTTCAAAGGGTAAAAATACTTTTGCATGTCATTGCCTTTGAGACATTTATTAAGTTTTATTTCTTCTGAAGGACAAACTAGGCAGCTGGAGTACTTCCATCGTAACCAGCCATGATGATGTTGATTAGCTATTGAACTGAACTAATGTTGAGATACATTCAAGGGTTTTGCTGACATATGTGACTTTGATTGGCAGGTTATTTGTTAAGTTTTAAGTCTTTAAGGAAAGACTCCACTCCCTCGATTGTCCTCAGAACATCAGAGCAGTTAGTGAATACATAATTGATTTGGCATGGGATGTTTTATTTTGGTGCAGTGTGTGCGTGTGTGTGTATTCCAGCTTATAGCATTTCACTGGTGCGCGTAATTCAAACGCAAAAGCCAACAATTTTATGCTGAAAATGCTTTTCTTAGTTTTATTGCCTGTTTTTTGATGTGTTTGACAAGCGTTTAAAAGGCAGGCATATTAAAATCCAACTGTTCGAGCTCTGCAGGCCTCAAATATTCAGTTTCTCATTATATCCGTTCATTTCTCATAGGAGAGCTCTGCTTTCGCTTTTTTCCAACAACTTTTTCTGACCGACTTGGACATTGCTCTCAGCACACACAGGATTTTCGTTGAAGGGAGAAATGTGCATCTGAAAATAACCAGAGAATTTGTCAAACAATCTTGCAGCTAAACTTTACACAGAGAGTTAAAGCATTATTATTCACTTTCTGTGTTTTGTAGTTAAAGAATATTAACTGACAAGATAAAGCAGTTTGGTAAATACCTTTTTTTTCTGTGCATGTGTAAATGTTACCGAAGCATAAAGACTGTCTGTCTTACAAATTAGAACTTAACCTGACTAGATCAGACGCTGGTGGTCCATTGGGTGCAGGAGTTTCTTTGGTAAGAAATGCTGAGTCAGTAGATCACTCTACCACATATGCTACAAGTAAAATACATTATAGTTCATTGTTACGTTGTCTCGCATTAATTGGTCTTTGAGGGGAAGATCTGGCTTAACTGCGGTCCAAGAGTGTGTGTTCACTTTCTAGGTACACATTTTGTGTGTCATAAATGGGACCAGCGATGCTGTCTTAGATAAAGCCAGAGAGTTTAGATTGGGCAGACAATCTAAACCCATGTCCATGTACTGACTGCCCATGTCCAGTCAGTGCTTTAAACTTTACTAAAGACGCAACCTGGAAAGAATGATTGGCAGAATGATTGGTCAACTGCTCTACTGAATTGCTGCAGTGACATCCTGACTGTAATTCAAATTCAAATTCTGATTCAAAATACTTTAAATTGAATGTTGTAACTCATTAATTTAGATTCTTCAAAGAGTTATTGACTATGGTGACAGCGGATGGCAGGAAAGATCTCAATTTTGTCTTACACAAATGAGAGCAGTACGTGTCATTTTTCTAATTTTAACACCATTACTTTTCCTGATCTGTCTGGTTTTATGCAGAAATGCTTACTGCTCATCATCTCCATCTATAGTAATTTGTGGATTATCATTTTAGGTAATTCTTCAGACTCTTTCAGACAAGATTATACAACAAAGATTGTAACACGGCAATGTAATTTGTCATTGTCTTGGTTGACTCCTTGAGGAATGACATATTTCTGATGGTTCTTAAAATGTTATTAGGAATTGTATCTCAGAGGTTTCCTTTGATTGGATTGCTTTCATAGCATCATACCTATCCTATCTCTTTCTTAAAAGTTGCATGGAGAGTTGTGAGAACATGAATCTCGAGGCCTTTGTATACAACAGTGTTGAATTTTCATATTTATTTTCATTGGAGGTGTGCCTTAAAATCCCACTTATATTCTATGCATGTTTGGTTAATTTGATAATGAGAATGTCAGCCTGTGCAGCCTCAGGTCTTTGTTAAGCTTAGGTATCTCGTTGCAGAGAGAAAGCAGGCATTCGTGACAAAATGGCTCTAGTTACTCATATACCTCAACAGCATCACAGTGGATTACGTTCCTGTTTGCTGTCTCATCTCACCGGGGAAGGCCTATGTTGACAGATGTTGCTCCTGTATTGCCTCTACCTTTTGCAGGATCCTATATTTGAAAAATAGTGAAGATAGGCAGGCTTTCTCTGACATATAATCCCATTTTGTAAATAATATCAGAGCAGTTTAATGCTGATCAGTCGGGGGTACTAAACCTGTTTTGTCTGCCTTCCAGCGTTGCCTGTTTGTGACACAGCATTAGTATGAGCTTCATTCTTTGTTGCCAAGCCTTTTCTTTGACTGTCAAACCCACTCCTGGTCCGGGACAGTCTGCCATTGGCTCTGAGCCAGCCTGAACAACCACACAACCATAGAAGCCCATTTGTCAGTAGTGTGAAGGAGGGGGCTGTTGTGCAGTTATACCTGCTGTGCTCTTGTCTGCGTTGGTGTCCAGCTGATTTGTTTGTGGTTTCTTTGGATATTTGGGAGGTGAAGGGCACAATCTATCATCCAAAGAAACTACAGAGTGGACCTGAACAGCAACATTCAATGCAAACTATGGAGATCTGCTGTTTTCAGATGCCAGTTTAGACATTACTCAATTCGACAATCCTGACCAATTTCCAATTTAGGCTTTTGTAAACTTTTTCAGAAGTAAACAAAAAAAAAAATCAACAACTTTTTTTTAACCAAGTCTCCAAAGTACTGGTTTACTCCGAGTATCAGTCAGATAGAAAAAAAAGTTGAAGACAACTTGGCCACAGCTGCAAGTGTAAAATGGAAAAATAATGAAAAAACAGGTTTCTGTTGGTAAAGAGGAACTACACTTAAAGACAAAAACATTTAAAATTTTCTGATTGTCTTGTAATTGGTCAAGCTACAAATCGATTGATTTGGTTTACCAATCAACTTCCTGATGCAGCGTGAGCTAAAATAGAAGCAAACAATTAATAGTGTAGTAACACAGACAGAGGAGAGATGTTGGAAAGTAATAATTAATTGTCTTGTAATTAAGGTGTCAAACAGTAAAAAAAAATAAGAGTGTCAACTTTATCCTTCAGCAGATTTTTCTGATTCTGTATTGTCCACACAGCAGAGGAACCTCCTAAAATGGGAGGATTATCTATTTTAAAGCAAAACTACTTTTCTAATGGTAACTTAATTGAATCGAGGTTTTTTGTTGCTGTCTTTGCTTTGGATTCATTCAGCTATTGTAAGCAGCTGACAGGATGGTGATTGGTTCTTGGCACATTTCCATTTACACAGGGGGGAGGAGATGACCTCCAAGTTACTCCCGTCTTTTTTTCTGTTTTGGAAAGGAATTTTTCCCAGTTTGGTGTGTTGCTATGACCAAAATACAAATGTCGGGAGAAAATGTATATCACAGACTTTTGAAAATAAGCTAATTTAGAGATAAAATCAAACCATCTTTTGTATATATATATATATAAGTATATATATATATATATATATATATATTTTAAGCCAGAAGTCTAAAATTAAATCCTAAGTTGTCAGTATCAGTTTGACTAGCTAGCTTTTTTAATCTGTTTTTGATAATGTTCTTCATGTTTTGAGTTTGTAAGGCCCAGTTTGCATCACTGTACAAGAACTTCAGGAGCTGCAATACATTATTAGAAGACACAAGAACAACACTTAATACATTTTATTTGAACCTTGTTCATGTTCTTACTAGTTATTAAAATTAGGGGCCTAAGTGTCACATGTGTTGGCCATAAGTTTTGAATCCCTCTTAGCATGAATGAAAAGCAGGCATTTTCCAGAGAGCATATGGCATAGCACATTTCTTTTTACTTAGACTCTTAACCATCTCACAAAGAAAGAGATGGGATTCAGTGGAACTCGAAAGGTTTTTACACTGTATGTAGTCCTGGTGGGTCACACTGACCCCGTTTGTGCTTTTACAAGGATTGTTTTTGTGTGGATTCGGGAACTGACAGGCTAATAGGACATTTCCATCACTTTTCTGTTGTCCAATCACAAAATCTGCCATGGTCCTCCAAAGCGTCACTGCGGGAGAGTTAAATCTTTGCTCTTCCACTGATTTATTTGGAAAGTGTTTCACAGATGCTTCAAACAGCCAGCTTAGAACGTTCTTCTATCAGCATCTACACTAAATGGTGTTTTTGTTGGTGTGACCTGGCCAACGGTGTGACCAGATAGGTAGACCAGCCGTACTGAAATTCAATTTAGTTTTGAAGGTGCTCTGTGAATGGAAATAGATCTGGTTGAGTTTTTTGACTGGCTGATCACCTTTGAATGCTTATCAAACTGAAAATTGTCCTATTTTACACACAATCTTTTTATTTTCTGCATCTCTAGTTTGATAACCTAAACACAGATTGTTGAGCACTTTCTTTTGTTCTTTGCAGGAGGGGCAAGAAACACAGCATCATCCTCCGTTCGCAGCTTTCAGTCAGAGTTCATGCCTGCATTGGTAAGTAATAAACTCCACCCTAATCTGTTCATATCACACATGGAAATAATATGAGCTTTAATTACCTGTATTAGCAGCACATTGCTTCCTTTGCATCCTTTTTGAACTTCAACAGTGGCAGTTGTGGGATGGGGCCCAGGGCCTTAATTTGTGTGACAATTAACAGCCCTTCCACAACATACTAAAAAACAGAGCAGTGGCATGAGCCAGAGAGAGTTTCTGTGTTTTTTGAGTAATGTGAGGGAACCAGCACAAAGAGCTGAGTGGAAACACATGCAAACACGCACACGCAGCGGCATGTGTACAGACACACGAGCGTCCAATCTGATTCAGATGTTGGCTTTCAGATTTTGGTTTAACTACACTGACGTGCTTGTTCCGCCTCTTTCTGGAAATACAGTGCTGATAAGTGGGTGCTGTTTGTTTTGCTACCTTATTTAATGTTATTTTGTCATATAAAATGACTAAACACGCTTTTAAAAAGTAATTAACTCACAGAGTTCATTACAGATACATAATGTCCTCAGCAGCAGCACAGAAAGGAGGAGAATATTTTTCTCTTAAACACACACCCCTCCTGCCGACTTGGAAGTGCAAAAATAACTCAAAATCTGCAAAGGTTATTAAGCTGTAGACTGTCAAATTTCACTTGGGGTAAAATCCACCTAGACAGGGTTTATTTAAATTAGGTCAACATGATCTGAGTCAGATGTTTGACTGGCGCTAAGGATGCGCCAGACTTGTGTCCTTTCCTAAAATATGACAGCTGATCAAAGAATTAGTGACATGCACAAGAATTAAGAGAGAGATTAGGTTTGCTTATGTGGCTAACTTCCAGGTTTCATTTCTTCTGAGAGTTTAGAAGATAACTAGGCAAGTAATACTGTGGAGCTATTTTATATTCAAAGCTTTTTTAAAACAAAACTGTAATTGATCATCTTGTTGGCAGATTCTCATTGATTTCAAGACAGGTCAGGAGTTCATTATGGCTGTGGTTGTGAATATTTGTTTGAAACCCCCTCTAGTATGGATTCTTCTGTCTCCTGCTGGTGCGTGGCTGAGCTTAGTGGAGCCTAGGGAGAGATAGAAAGACTCTAAGTGGATGATGGCCCTCTTTCTCTCTAAGTTGACAGCCACCTGTTGCCCCTCACTCTGGTCCCCCTTGGTGTCTTTCTGTGTGGCTAGCTGATTTATTTTGTCTAGCTTAGCGAGCCACTGTTACTGTAACTCGTCCAGACATTTGAGCCTAATTTTATCAGACTAGCAAAGTGACCTTTTGGCCCACTGAGCACATTATGCCGTGTTTTTCCTGGTCCACAAAAGACATAATGTGTTACTCTTTCAAAGTTAAATGGCATGGCATATTCAGGGTTGGATGCTTGTTATACATTTACAGATCGAGTACCAATACTTACTTTCTGTTCTTTTCTTTTTTTGTTTGTTCATCCCAAACTGTGTAGAAGTGGAAACAATATTAGATTTCTAACAGTGTTGGTGAGAGACTTATTGCAACTGAATATTTTAATTTCATTTTAAATGTGTTCTCACTGATGACTTTGCATTACTACACCCACAATGTTGAGATGTTTACCCCAGAGGCTCCCTCCGTGGATATGAGTAATGAGTTGGTTTCTGCCATGTTTACTCTATTCTGTGTCATTTACTGCTATTTTGTGGAACAGACATTGTATAGAGTTTAAACTCCAATTAAGTGAAACATCTTCAAGAGAGTGTTTTCTGGTATTTGTCTTTCTTTTTTAGATTTACACAAAACAGAACCAGCCTCCTGTTTGCCTTTTTGCATTATAGCGTGCACAAACCACAGCAGGACCTAATCCGGGTTTCCTTAATCATAGTCATTAGCACTTACATGCATATGTCTGTTCAGGGGTAATAAAGAAGTGGAAGAAAATGTCTCACCCACAGAGCTAATAGTTTATGAAATTGTAGCCTTCTGCCTTAGTAATTTGTTTTGTATACTCAAAACACCTTTGGAATGCAAAAAGGTTTACCCATCGATGTTTTTGGAGCACAGAGAGGTATTATCTAAACCTTCTTTAATAATAACCAACTTTAGAAGAAAACAAAGCACTAGTGTACAGTAGCAGTCATAAACCAGAATTATATTGCACATGGTTGCTCAGTACTAAAAATGTTCCAAAATGCATTCAGACTGACATGATGTGATGCATACTTAGTGTGAGAGATTGCTCCACAGTTAGCGATTCAATTCACTGAGCTACCCACTATGAGTAAATTCTCATTGAGCAAAAGGAATTGCATTATACACTCTGCCATGACATGACCTTTGTTTTGAATTTGAGCCCTAAAAAAAAAAAAAGAAACAACTAAATGTTGTAAATCTCCACAACATTTAGCTTTGGAGTTTTACATAAAGTTTTACATAAAAACATCCACATCTTTACACTGAAAAATATTTCTCCCACTTGCTGTACTTTTCTGCGCATCCTTGGCAAACAGGAGCACAGGTGACTGCAATGACACTTCAAAAGTTAAAAAGAAATTGAATATTTGAATATTTCTCTTCAACTGCTCTGCTTACACTATCTGGTTTTTGTGTCTGCAGCAGACATGGATACTTTTTGAGGAACATTTATGTGAAGCAGTGAAGAATTATGCACATTTTGTATGATTCTTCATGAAATAACTTAGAAAAACAGGACAGATAAATAGTTAATAACTCCTAGGCATGCTGCCTGCAGAAAAGTGTAGCGTTTTCTTTTTGACTGTTTTGTAAAAGCAACACAAAAGATGCATGTCTTGTACACCGAACTGGGAGTGGTGTCCCCCAAGTGGTCTGCATTGTTGTGTGAAAGGTGTGTGCGAGTATGAATGATTAACAGCTACACAAATTGTGTGTTGGCTGTTGGATAAATTATGCTGGGGCTTTCAGTCTTGAGAATAAGACTTGTCTTCAGTACCACAGCACCACCCTCCAGTGAGACTTTATTTTGTTTTGCTCACCAACATCACCACTGCCATAGTTCTTTAATAAAAACAAGGAAAATTACCTTTAGCTGATGTGGTTTTTCTCATTAGGTAAGCAGAACTGGTAATGATTTGGTCTTTGTTTATAGTTGCATGGCCAGCTCAGCAGCTGATGGTTTGGAGAAATCAACTCATCTTGCCCCATTCTGCGTGTTAGCCTCGGCCACAGCCTGTTTATATTGTCAGGCTGTAATTATTGTCAGTGTGCTAGATGTGGTATGAAGAGCCTGATTAAAGCAGTCTATGCTTATTTTTGTATTGTCCGTAAATACAATATGGCCTCATCTTGACTGTAGTGTTGTCTCTGGGACTGAATAAAAAGGGAAAAGGAGGGTCACTTGTGGCGACAGACTATTGTTTAGTTCTCATAATCTCTAAATTTGAATACCAAGTGATGCATGAATCATGTTCTCAGTGATCACAATCACAAAAACCAATTTCCGATGTGGGAAATGTATCAATTCCACACAGAAATATCCCTTAAGACCCCCAAAAATGTGCTTTTGCTGTCATCTTTGTGTTACTCATTTTACAAGAAGCTGCAGTAAATCAGTCAGACATCGCAGCTTACCCAGCTGTTGCAACCCTTTATTTTTTTCTAAACATGTGCTTTTTATTCTTTAAAGTAATAAATCTTATCAAAAAAAAAAGCTTAAATTTGATGGTATTCACCTGCTAGAACAGGTTCATCTGGCATAACGCTGCTCCTCTCTGAAGGGTGGCAACTGAGATCAGAGGTGACACATCCTTGGTGGATTATCTGGCTTGTAATTTACAACCTCTTATAAAGTTGGCTGATGGCATGACTCATTGTGACCACTGCAATCTTGTGTATACACTATAGTTTTCTTAAATTGGTAGTTTTGATTACCAGTTTGACAAATGAAATGTTTGTGGTTGTTAAAAAGGATGTTTTTATTCAGTGGAGAAAAAAATGGCTGCTGCTATGATCATTCGCCATTAAGCTCGTTTTCTTATAGTGTTTCAATGTATATGACTCCATCCCATCAACTCTGGTCAGCTCCAAAATTCCTGCTAAAGAAAGGCTTTCCCACAGGATGATCAGACCGCCACCATCTTTCACATGCATTTACTTGTAGGCAAACAAAAATTGCATTTGATCTCATCTGACCAGAGTACCTTCTTCCACAAATTGTCTCTGTCCTCTCTATGACTTGTTTCAAATTGATATCAAGACCAGTAAGAAGTTTTAAGTCTAGTAACATAAACCATTGTGCTTTTATTGTTTTCTATGTTATGTATTCAAACACACAAATATAGGTTAAATTATTTGGATTTTTTTTTTCATTATTATCTGGAGTTGCTAAGGATATTTGGGTAATACTGGCTAATGATAGCCACCATGATTAATTATTTAGGAATGAGTCACACCCGAGCTACCTGACCTATGAAGCCATGAACTGCTACAATAGATTAATCAAGCTTTTGAGTTGTCATTCATCCCAAGAGAAATAATTGAATGAGGTAATATGCAAACCCTTCTTAACAATGTCTTGTTTCCATATGATTGTACTAGACTATGGATGCTGTGGTCAGTAAAATACTGAAACTAGTTTTCTTTTTCACGTATCTACGTTGTACCATTGGCAGAATTAAACAGTGAAGCAGTGTTTGTCAGAATGTGTTCAAAAAGATCTATTCGCACCAAAAACTGAGTCACATTGAAGTCACAATAAAGCCAGAAAATCAAACATTTCTGTGTCTGTGAAGGCTGGAGAGGAGGAGAATAATTAAAAACATTCATGTCCCATGGCACCCATGGGACACAGTGGAAGATCAAGTGTCCCAGACTTCCATCTCTTTTCTTCGCCTCAAAGAAAGTCTAAAATACTATGATAAACTCAGAATCACCCCAAGAGACCAACCTGAACAACAATGTGCCAAGGAGGACAAATCTGAAGAAGCAAAAATGAAAAGTGGGCGGAATGGACCTTTCTTTTTCTCTACAAAACCAGATTGTCTGAAGGGTT